AAAATGACTCTTGTTATTTTAATGTGGTACTACCAAAGTTAAAACAGAATTACGTGATTTATTTTCTTTTGATGTTGCATGTATTTAATTAAATCCATTTTCAGAGCACTTGTGTTGCACAATAACAGACCAGCATCACACTAGCATTAGTTTGCAACAGGAAAACCGTGGACATTGTATTTATTAATGTAAAGTTACTTCTCATATATACAAATTATTTACAGTGTGGTGGAAATCAGAGAAACCAAGCATACTTCAGTTATCATTTGAATGTTTTATTAAAACTTCTGCATAATCCTCCTGAACAGACATAAAATCTATTTATGCAGGCTGATAGAAAAAAACTGTAATCACAAAGCAAACAGGTTCAAACATGCGCCACATACAGTAAATAGTTAAAGATACAAAGAGCTCACAAAACAAAATAGCATTTTAGAATTTTCTGTGCAGATTTCTGTATTTCTATCACAGCGGCCACAAAGCAAAACAAGAAAGAGTGAAGAAAACGGGACATGAGTTTAAAAAACACTAAATACGAAGATGTGTTGTCTTGTTGTTGTTCCAAACCAAATTTCATGTCTGAAGACGTACTGGACTTACTTTCACATATTCATCATTTAAATGTTTTTCTTTTCCACTTTTAATATCCAGACAGATGCGGAGTCTGAGCATGACAATATTAAATATCAATCCAAAGTGAAGATGGATTTTATTTTTCTAATTGAATTCTCTTGTTATTGAAGGTAAGTTAATATTCATATTTCTGATTGCTTTTAGTCATTCATTCATCGTTAACATTTTATTTCAATCTGCCACCATATTACACTAGAACACACAAACTTAACATGTGTGATTTTAAAGAGAATATTTAGATTGTCTTATTATATGGAGGAATGGTTCAATCATAACATAAAACATGGACATGAAAATTGTGATTTTAATGTTGTACTGTTAAAGTTCAAACAGACATTTGGGCTTGATTTTCATTTTATGTTGGATGGATTTAATTGATTCAATTTTTAGAGCTCGCTTGTCTCCAGTGTTAAATTAACACTGGAGAGTGTCTATATGGGTCCACACCTCTGAGTGTTAAATACAACACTGTTGAGTGTTAAATTAACACTTTTGACAG